TCGCTACTTATGTAGATGTCACTGACAATATGTTGGAGACTCTACTGTTGGAAACATCGAGTTTATCGAGGTACCGTTGATTTTATAACCTGGTTTGCGTGATAAAAAGTGAGGTTATAATATACATTATTATTTTTATAAGTAGCTTTGTAATGAAAATATATTATCGAAATCTGAAAGAAAATTTCCAAAATATATGGCAAAAAAGGAGCATTTTAATTCTCTGGTGCTAAAGCTACCACGGAAGTCAAATAATCGATAGATGAAAAAACGAAATAAGAACCTTGGAAAAAATGAAATAAGAGAAAATACGAAAAAATTGAAAGAAAAATCGGGAAAACAAGCGAGCAAAGCGACGACGTTGGAGGCGGAATTTTTAATCAAAAGTTTAGAGTTGACCGACTTCTAAGTACACCAAATGGTAACGCGATTCTGGATGACAGCGTCGAACGCGTTGTTAAACGGAAGTGACGAAGTTTTACGCGTTAGAAGCGGATCGAAGGTCCTTCATTTCGCAAACGATGGAAACAGCTCTAGACTTGCGTAATAACCACTTGAATAATAGAACGCGAGTTCTATGGTAAAGTACCGACAACATCATGACACGCTTTATAAACGCAATTACGCTTCGGCAAGACCACGAGCAGTTATCCTTCCGTATACACCCCCGTTTGTATCAGGACAGAACCGGAAAGATCGTTAGCAAGTTATTAAAATTAATCCCTCGATGTAATATTATATATGTCTCTGGCATATTGCGCCAAAATGAACAATGACGCTCTGCTAGTTTCTTTCCAACCTCACGTTTACTTACGTCATGATCAACTGACAATTAGGAAACGGGAAGTAATAAGCTTTCAATTAATTTTTTATTACCATCACATTGCCTGTAATTCAATGTTCTGTTATTACCATTCGATATCGTTTTGCGAGAGAGTTTCCATTCATAATCGATAATCTTTCGATAATATTTAATATATTATAATATTAAGTAGTATTTAATATTATAAACAACGTTATAAATGATATATAAAGCTTTACTAGAAATTCCAATTCGATTATAACAAACTGATATTAATTTTAAAATTACGAGAACGATTATATATGTACACATAAACAATCACGCAGAAATGTCATACACGAGAAGTCGTCGAAATTCTTCGGAAGCGCAGAAGAGAAAGCCCTTCTTTCCGCTACGAAGAAATTCGGCTCTCTGAATTTTTCAAGCCGTGTCCTAACGTTTTCCATTGAGGCAGAGGAAAGCGGTGCAGGTCTCGTTTTCCCGCTGTGCTCCCCGAGGGTCAGGGCTGTCCCTTTGTCGCCCCTTTTCAATGCTGGCTGTGCTTGCCAGGCTCTAGCTCACCGGCAGCTGCCTCTCTCACGAAGAGACGTTTTTCAAAGTCCCCTTCGTGCTAACGATCACCGGTCTCTTCCTATCCCCGATGCGAAACGCGGCGAGGGTCGAAAATCCCGCTGGGAGATTATTTTTCCCTCGCTACCCTCCTACCTTCTCGCCATGCCTCTCTGACCTGGCCTTTCCGCCAACGAGGACTCGAAGGAATATTATGGACCAGGAATACGTTTCCTAGACGCCGGGAAGAGAAACTTCTCAACCCAATTGACTTTATCCACGCGATTTCATCGCGGTCCTTCGGCGACGATCTTTACCTTTGTTTTAGAACGAAGAGCCGAGCGTAGAGTTTCTTACCATTACGATAAGTGCCTTCTAAATTCGTCGTTTTCTTGTCTCGTCGTCCCTATCGCGCTGGGATCATATAGGTTTCCGTTTGCGAGTGATTAATAGTCGAATCATAAATTTAACTCGGAACTATCGGTGATTCGAGTTTGATATACCGATGGTCTTGGATTTGGAGGTTTCCCGGAAATTAACGAGGATTATTCGGAATATTTTTAGGTTTTTAATTCTACGAATTCCCATCGGCGATTTTGAAAGTGAGAATTGTTAAATTTCTAGATAAGAAGTGGGAATTGTAGAGTTGGTGCGAATAAATATTGTTATAAGGTGCCGTGTGTGTACCTTCAACAACGATTAGTTTTGCTGCAATAGATTTATAAAAATTCTCGATTATAGAATCAACGTTTCGAGGATAAATCCTGTTTATTTATCTGAAGTAACTTTCATGTCTACCCCTATTCGTCTAAGTCTCTGTGTCTTCTCTATTCGAGGCGAGCGACGAATAATGGCAGAATGGCTTACTTCTATTTGAAACGTTATTTCTCTTGCTGTTCGTGAATTGGTTTCGGTAATATCTCTTGAAACACTATCGCCGATGGCATTTTCTAGCCTTCGTGCTCCGTTCTTGAGTGAAAAATCGCCAATTGCCTAAATTTCGCAAACGTCAAACCGTCCCAATATTTGCACAACCTTCTCCATACTCCAAATTTCCCGATGTTCCAATTATTCGTGACACCTGATAACGAACTGTTAACATTTCCATCGCAAATGTTTTATATACCGATATTTGATACACGTACATCGCGATAAATGTCTTCTTCTTTATTGATGACAATGGACAAAACGAAATTCGATTAGCGGTATTATCCCGTTGGATTGAAACCCTGGTGAAACGAGGTTCCGTATGCACCAACCCGGTACTCGTTGTTAGGGTCAGTGCAGAAAACTAGTTCAAGTCTGGCCGAAGCGTAGCGTTTCCTTCGAGATCAATCAGCTGGCCTCCACTGATAGTTACAGTAACTGCATACCGGTTTGCTATAAACATATCCATGTGTACACTCTTCTTAACGATCGTTTATTTCACAGGACACCTCGACACGAGCTGGTTTTTCGCGTAGACGCGCTAACGCGTTACGTTATGCTCCGTTTCATCGATCCATCGACGACTACAACGATGACCGATGCATTTCGAGACAGACGTTCGTTCCAGCGAGCCGTGTGACGTTCCAAAGACGCGAAACTCAATACTCGGGTAAGCTTCGACCCTGTCCGGGAGGCACAAAGACCAGGAAGCGGAGCGACGATGAATTATAGAGACCCGGCAAACGGAGCACGTCGCTTCTCCGGCACAGATCGATATCCACTCCACGAACTTGCCAATGTGTACCAAGAATCGATAACGCCATGCATTATCGATGCGTCTTCCGGTAGAACGTCCAACGTGCCCGCCAGCCTGTATCCTATTTGCCAAAAAGGCAGAAACGGATAAGCAACGGGTTCATATCGCGAGTCTGCGGCCCTGGATAACGCGTGAATTCGAAAAAGGAACACGAGCGAATGACATAGCGTGCCTGGCCAACGAACGAGCCTAGTTACAGCGAGATAATGTCCGAAAGATACGGTACTTTTAATTACGCTAATTTGGGACGCGTTGTTCGATCAAAAGCCGAAGTTAATCGGTCGCTTGGCTGGGGTCACTGCATTTTTTCCCCCACGAATTTCGACCAAGCTTTTTCTTTGATGTCTCGCAATGTTGGCGGCGGTAATTAGCGAGTGACATTGATGATTATTAGCCAGGCTACGCGGAATGTTTCTCTTTTCACCGGTTCGTTCAGTGACCCTTTGTCAGGATCGATATTTGGGGTAGATAGGCGAGGTAAATTATAAACGGCGGACTCTTCTTCACGCTACCCCCTGCACACAGCTGTGCTGTGCAGACTCCGATCAATAATTCTATCTAATTTATTTTTCCGGCTGCGTCGCTGGGTGAATTTCCCGGCGAGAATATCAAACGCATCGGGAGACGCTCACGATAATAATTTCAAGCGACCGGAGTCGTCGTTTGTACGCCGATTATATTTCACCGAGCGCTTACCCATAGCTGGCACATGGTGTTTAGGAAAAATTGCGATATCGCCTTTCCCCGCGGGTTTAAATTTGTCTGAAATTTATCCTATTATAGCTACGAAAATATCACGATGATCAACGTTTCAATTATTCTTACTAATTAAACTGTCTACAGAAACGTAAAATGAAACTGGACATAAAGAAATATGCAACGGAATACAATAGTCAACTTTCGTTAATTAACTATTACAAATCATCGTGAAATCCCCAAATCGTTATGTATCCCGTTCTTTCGTTTCTAATATATATGTACTGTCCAATTACATACCACGGTCGTTAATCGTTCCACGTATCTTATACCGATTACGTTTAACATTCCCGCAATCGGATCTGTAAGAATCGTATCGTGCGATCGTAAGAGAGGCGCAGATAAGAAAAATTCGCGTGCCGGAGCGCAGCAACGTATCCAGGATCAGTCCGCGCGGATGGCGTTCCCGCGACTGATTTATCCGAAACACGACGGAGCAAAGGAAAGCCAGGGATACGGTGTAACTGGCCGAAGCGAGGAACGAGCAAACCAAAGTGAGACGAACGAGCAGAACACCACGTGCACGTGTGCATTTCACGTGACACATACACGGGTCCCTTCGTACATACGTAGGTGTAGGCACGCATACACAATCGCGTATGTATCGAGGCGAATACATAGATATGCGTGCGTGTGTATGTGTGTGTATATATACATACATACATATATGTACACCATTGACCGGGATATCGTCTGTCTCGGGATGAATGAACCATTACGTCACGCACTTGTACTCTCCGATCCCCTTCCGCCTCACTCGCATTATATTATGTACAGCAGCAAGCATACCTTCCTCCTTCCTTCCATCGATTAGCGGCGGAATTCCAACCGGGGAGGGAGAGACGATAGAGAGCTATAGTTTCGATGGAGGTCAACGTATCGCGGTGGCTCAGACACCCGGCAGACGTGTCTGCCTCTGTAAAACGCCGAGGGACGAAGGACGCGGGGATGAGAGGCAGAGTGGATCGCTTTCGTTGTACCACTGATACACTTTCGCGCTGCTACTCGTATCTTCGGACGCAGGTGCATGTTGCTCTGCGTCTCTTTCCACCAGATACCACCGGTCGCGTCGCATCCCTTGCATCTTCATCTTCATCTTCATCTTCACTCGTGGATGTTTTAAAACTCCCTATTCCGTTAGAAGTACTCCATTCGTATTTATATTTAGCGATGAATCTGCACACGGGAAAGGTAGTAATCTGGAAAACGATGATACGGGAAAATTGATGTTCTGGGTACGGTGAAATCAGTCAACTAATAATGACAGTTAATAGAAATTGTTATTTCCTGATGGTCGGAGTCACAGCACATTATCCGTGACCAGTGAATGATAACGAATAGTAGTCATTGCAGTTGTTAGAAAACTTAAGTTTACACGCGAACGATATTGATAGGTAATTTTTTCAGTCGAATTATTTAGCCTTCTAAGATGGGCTCACGAGGTTCTCGACCAGTCTCTTTTAAGTTAGGGTACAGTTTCGCTTTAGGGCCGTCGCTGTTCACTCTTCCGTGAAAGTCTGGCTTTCTCTCCTTGGGTGCACTTCGTTGCAACCAAATATCTAATAGACTTTTAGGAACATAGTGACCACCTTTGTGAAGTTGTTTACTAAGGGATATTGATGTACTTGGTGGTGGTGACATCGGTGAATCAGTTGTTGCTCTTATTACGCTAGCCCGAGCAGTTCCATCTTCTTTTCCAAAGCTATGTAAAACGATGCAAAAAATTAATAATTTCGAAATATAGATTTCTTTTAAAGCATGTTGCGAAAATTTATTCTTACCTGTCTAATTCGCGTAACGCTTGGTCCAATTCCACTTTATCTTTATCATCTTTACTTCGTACTTCGAGAAGACAAGTTAGAACCTCAGAATGCGCAGCAGAATTATTCGCGTGGTGTCTCAGAAATGTTTCTAACTCTCCCCATAGCAATCTGTAATGTTCTTCTCTGCGTACACCACCTTTTCCGCCACGACCGCCTCCTATACTTGGCAATGGTAATGTTTCGTGTTTTGCTTCCAATTGTAACAAACTGAAAATCACCTGTTTACATTGCACAACTTCTTCTGCAGTAAGTTCTTCTTTCACCATTAGATCTGGTAATGGGTCGATTAACTATAATGCATAGACACGACATAAATACTGAGATTACGTAAAAATTTATCGATTAAAATTATTTTTTCTATATATACCTGTTTTAAATTAAACATAAGTGTACTAGAAATGGTAATTGGCCAATATTTCGTATGCCTCTCTAATCTGGATCTCATTTTTTCTGCTGGACCTTCGCTATTAGAATTTGTACTTCTTTTTAAAGGCACCAGTACATTATTTCGCATCAATCTTCCAAAATCCTATAATAATTGATATAAGAGTTACAGAAGAATATTCTAAGAAATTAGTCGAGTCTCAAAGAAAATATTTAGATTTTATATATTTACGGTTATTCTATAATCAGTAACACGACCACCACAGCCTTCGCTAATAGAAGGTGGATCTTCTAATACACTTCTAGCAGTAGATAATGTATGGATAAAAATTTCACCACCATGTGCAGCAAGTAAATGAGAAATAGTCTTCCCGCCACTCTTTCTAGCCATTTCAAGCATAACCGATCTACCATTCAATAAAAAATTGATCAAACAAGACGAAGGTCTGCTATTTACGTCTACGGGTGTGATTCTATGCATAGCCGTGCAATTTTGCATTTCAGCTGCACTACATCCGCGGGGTGTACACCATTTTAGAGTCACAGTTTCATATTCTGATCCTTCCTCAAATCTCCTAAATGTTTTAATTAAAGCCGAATCTTGTGGATTTCCTTCAAAAATATTCATATAATAATTTTCTGTCATATTGGATAATTTGTATTTTAAAATTAATAAGGGAACCTTTTAAAATTGCAGAGTGTGCAGCTGACGAATGAAATATCTCGACATCGTAATTCGCAGAAGAACTAGCATTCTGTTCTTCCTTCATTGGTATACCAGTTACTGTTGTACTAGCCAAATCATAATGAGACAAAATTAAGTGAGATAATTTTGAATGTAATGCAGGTGCCTTAATAGAATGTACTTCTACGGTTAATAAAGGTGAAACCTAAAAATATTTACAAAATATTTTATTTGTATAGCATAGAATTTATATGTATAAATAAATTAAGTACCTCTCTTGGTCCTTGACTAGTAACTTGAGATTCGATATTGTTGGGAAAGATATTTAAGATAACTAAGTGACAATAATCTACAGGTATTAAACTGAAAAGATAGATTATAAAATTAATATATATATTACTATATAATATATATTTGAATACTAACTGATCTGAAGCTAAAGCAGTTTTATTTTCTTGAGCTAATTCGTTCAAAAATATATTTTCCAAGTTCTTCATGTTACTATTATCTCGTGCACTTGTGATACATATTACTCTGCCCCTGTTAACAAGTTTACTAGCATTTTCATTTAGCGATGTTCTTTTCTCATGTTGAATTTCTGAACACTCATTAAGTGTTTCGATAGCCACTCTCAAACCGTGTATAACTGAATGATCTTCTCCAGGTTTTGGAGTTTTCGGTGGTACTCCTAAAATAGCTGTGCCATTCATTATCTAAAACCACAATAAACTTAATCAAAAATATTATTTTTATACATAAACATACATAATTTAATGTTTTACATGATTTAAATTTTGCTGTGATGGACTCCATGAATTTAATACATATGCTGCACGGTCGGTTACAACAAATCTTATCTGTAAAGAGCAAAAGAATTAAAAGTACTTTACTTTTCAGTTATACAAATTTTATTTATTAATAATATCTAGTTAAAATAACATACCAATTTTCCAGTTGGAAAAAGATCCCATACTATGCGGCAATATTCCAATGACGCTTCTACACTTGTGGTCCATAAAGATTTACAAACAGGTGCCAAGGGGATCAAGTTTTGACCGCGACTCTTCAGAAAATCAAATTCCAAAGGAGCTTCAGTAGATATGCCAAAATATGGCGTATGATCCAAAACAAAAATAGTTTTATGGTTTGCTGGATACATTATTTTACACCATTTTAAGAAAATGTTTTTTTCATGTATAATATATTACAGTTCATTAATTATACATTTATAGATATGAAGATAATGCTTCGAGAATATCTCATATTATAGGTTAAGGTACAAAATATTCTAAAGACGTTAAAATCATGTAATTTTTTTATTATAATAAAAGTATAATATAATAATCATGTACTAATCATATAATTAAAACAATAATGATGTATAACAATACTATAAGATTATAATATCTTTTATTTAGTTTTATTTTGCAAGTAATTATTTTATAAATATTAATACAATACAATTACTTTTGCGAGATATAAATTAGCTGTACAATATTTATAGTCTTAAATGTAATATACTTAACAAACAAAATAATATGCTTCAACAAATCTTGATAATTTTTTATAGATTTGATTTGTGAAATCTTACGCTTCATTAATATTTAAAATTCCCTCGTGTATTTTAAGTGTATTTCCGTTTTAATCTACCTTCAGTTTTAACAGTATATTTTGAAAAAAATTTAAGTAATATTTTTTAGAAGACAACTGTTTTAGATTGTACAATTTTATTTAGAATTTTTATAATAATATAAACGTACTACATTGAAAAATACAAATTATTTCTTTCTCCTCTTTTCTCATTATAGAACTGAATTAAAGCACTCAACTTCCTTTCCGATTGGAAGTCTCCTAGTGGCATTTGTAACGTAAGTTTGGTGAAATATTTTCTTTTATTTATAACATTTATTTATACGTAAATTTGAAAAAATTATTACTTAAATAACAGCAATTACACAAGGATTAATTTTATATTAAAATTTATAACAGTAATATGTGGTTATAATAAACTTCTATAGTAGCCGCGTTGGTTAATACACGTGGTATTGTTTAAGTGAACTTTTAATAGTAGTAACATATTATAGTTTTATCAAAATTTTGATTTCGCTAAAATTTATACAATTACATTATATTTATTAAATATGCTCAACATATCACTCATTTATTGAAATAAGATTACACGACTAGCTTTCATTACAATTATAAGAATATTTATTTATAACTATTAATATTATGGAAAATAATAAAAATAATATTGTGCATAAATGAAGCAAAATAACTTGAAATATAAAGTTAAAAGCAATTATTACTTAGTAGTGTATATGTTTAGGTTATTCGTAAGTCAACCACAACGTTAAGATGTCAGGAGGTTTAGATGTATTATCCCTCAAAGAGGATGATGTTACTAAAATGTTGGCTGCATATACTCATTTAGGTGCTGAAAATGTTAATTTTCAAATGGAGCAATATGTATACAAGAAAAAAAGTGATGGTAAGTTTTAATTTATCTAACACATAGTACTTAATATAATGTTTGGTATTTTAATATAATATTTTAAAATGCAGGAGTCAGTATTATAAATTTGCGTCACACATGGGAGAAATTATTATTAGCAGCACGTGCTATTGTTGCTATTGAACATCCTAGTGAGGTATTTGTCATCAGTTGTCGTCAAACTGGCCAAAGAGCTGTTCTGAAATTTGCACAGCACACTGGAGCTACTCCTATTGCTGGACGTTTTACTCCTGGTGCTTTCACTAATCAGATTCAGGTTGGTTAATTAGTGTGATATAAATATAATAAAAACAGTAATTATTCATAAGTGAATGATCTACTTTCACACAAATGATGAGCATTAATTTTCCATAATTTATATTTGTTGACACACTTTGGCTTAATCTTTTCTGATTTTATTTGAATGATTAATATTTATGCATTATCAAAGTAGCGTATAATAATGCTAGTAATTATTTTTAGTCTGCTTTCCGTGAACCACGTCTGTTGATTGTTACTGATCCATCTACTGATCATCAGCCTATTACTGAGGCCAGTTATGTGAATATTCCAGTAATTGCTTTTTGTAATACTGATTCACCTCTTCGTTTCGTTGATATTGCAATTCCTTGTAATACAAAGAGTCTTCATTGTGTTGGCCTTATGTGGTGGTTATTAGCAAGAGAAGTACTGAGATTGAGAGGTTCTATTGCTCGTGAAACTAAATGGGACGTCGTTGTCGATTTATTCTTCTACAGAGATCCAGAAGAGGTCAGTTTTTAGTACACCTTATTACAGTCTTATGTATTTAATTTAATTTATATTTATATTCTTATTCTATACATGATGAGAAAGTAGTGTTCTGAAATATATTTGTTGACCTTATTTATATATGGCTTAATGTTTGCTGAATATATTTTTATAACTTATTTGTCTATCAGTATATATTATCAATAAATAAACTATCAAAATGTCTTGTAGGCTGAAAAGGAAGAACAAGCCGCTAAGGAAATTGCACCAGCTAAAGATTTCGCTGGAACAGTTGAAGTTGCAGCAGCTACACAAGCATTCCAAACTAGTGGAGACTGGGCTGCACAGGTAAGGATAAATTATCTTAATTGTAATGTTAAGTTAGAGAAAGAAATTATTATTTGTATTTTTTCTATGTAGACTTCAGAACAATGGTCGACTACTGCACAATCTGCAACAGGACAAAGTTGGGGAGGTGCTACAACAGAGAAATGGTAATTTCATTCTCTTTGATAATTTCATACACTGACGCATTTTGTACAGTGAATGTAATAAAATGATTAAAAATTTCAATCTGTTGTTTTAATATCTTATTTGATAATCCTTCTAATCATTCTTATGTTATACTCTAGAATATAAACTCACAAATATTTCACATATACACATAATGTACTTGATAAAAATCTTCTCTTATTTTGTTATTCTAATTCACCTATTATAAGGAACAGAATGATAGTATTTTTCATAATTAATTTTGAATATGACAATTGCTTTGAAAGTATATAATGCATATACCGTCATTTAAAATTATATATATATATGGAATGTATATATATAGTTTTTTAAATCTATTTTTTATTTTGTATTCATTTTTTGCCTATGAAAACATTGTAAATAAACAATTGTCACTAAAATTTCTTAAAAAATATTTTTTACACTTTTTTATGCTAGTATATAATTATTACAAAATAATAAGAATACTATGCAAGATAAATAGTTTTCTACAGCAATCTTATTTACTACAGAAAGAACATGAAAATATAAATAACCATTAGATACAAGAAATACAAAAGCTAGCGCTCATGTAAGTATCAATTATTAAATTAAACTTTGTATAAGAATGTTGCCAATAACTCCAACTTTGCTGTGCAGCTATAAATGTTCATGAATTAATTACAGAAACTTCGAAATTTATTAATTTTTTTACTGCTGAATTGATTTATTAAGATGTATTAGGAACACATAACCGGAAGAGGTATCTTGTTCGAATAAAAATTGTATCGTTTGCGATCAGCGCCATCTATGATTTTGGACCATTTGTTCCGAAAAGAAATAGGAACATAAAATAGGCGAAGAGGTCGTTGAAGAGCTCACCACGTGACAGATAAGGACAGAGAAAGGATAGAAAAGGACAGAAGGGCTCCGACGGAGAAAAGTTAATAAATTACTCAATTTCCGTAATTAATTTATGAACTTTTATAATTTCATTGCAAAGCTGGAACTTCAGGCAACATTCCTATATAACTTTTGTAAAGAATTTAACTCTAAATTGTAAGTTATTAATTATCGTTTGATGGCGTCTATGATTTCGTAACGGCGACCATCACGATCTTCCGTGAAAATAATTAATACCTAAACGAAACTAGAATCAAAATGTGATCAAAAGTTATATGAGAAGATTCGCAAGAACATTGTTTTTATAATGAGTGTATAAAGATTCATAAATTAATTGCGTAAAGGGTAGTAATTAATGAAAAACCAATGGCGTCTTCGACAACAATTCAAACACTGCGTAGAATAATCATTAATAATTAATTAATTAGGGACCAATTTATATCGAAAAATATATTGGAAAGTTTTTAAAGGATCTGTCTTTACGATGCAATTATAAAAATTCAGAAATTAATCACACATATTGAGTAATTAGTAAATTTTCCACTGTCGACTTGATTTATTAAAATATATTCGGAGCACATAATCAGAGTTAGTAAACTGACATCAGAGCCATCTATGATTTTAAACTCGAAGCTCGAGTTCCGCAACGAGAACACAGACTGCATGACTTTATGCACTCATTATAAAAACAATGTTCTTGCGAATCTTCTCATATAACTTTTGATCACATTTTGATTCTAGTTTCGTTTAGTATTAAATATTTTCACGGAAGGTCGCGATGGTCGTCGTTACGAAATCATAGACGCCATCAAACGATAATTAATAACTTACAATTTAGAGTTAAATTCTTTACAAAAGTTATATAGGAATGTTGTCTGAAGTTCCAGCTTTGCAATGAAATTATAAAAGTTCATAAATTAATTACGGAAATAGAGTAATTTATTAACTTCTCTCCGTCGAAGCCCTTCTATCCTTTTCTGTCACGTGATAAGCTCTTCCACGACCTCCTCGCTTATTCTATGTTCCTATTACTTTTCGGAGCAAATGGTCCAAAATCATAGATGACGCTGATCACAGGCGGTAAAACTTTTATTCGAACTAAATACTAGAAACCAATTCGACAGTAGAAAATTAATAAATTTTCAAGTTTTTGTAATTAATTCATGAACATTTATAGTTGCACAGCAAAGTTGGAATTATAGGCAACATTCTTATACAATGTTTAATTTAATAATTAATACTTACATGAGCGATAAGTTTTGTATTTCCCGTAGTAAATAAGATTGCTATAGAAAAATATTTTTCTTGCATAATATTCTTATTATTTTGTAATAAATATATACTAGCATAAGAAAGCGTAAAAAATAAATTTTTTTATCAAGAAATTTTATTTACAATGTTCTCATAGGTGAAAAATGAATACAAAATAAAAAATAGATTGAAAAATCTACCAACAAACTATGGACGGGAATCGAACCCCAGTCCTTCAACATAAGAATTCTCGAATGCCGGCGTTAGGCCACGACTCCACTTAAAAACTGTTGCAAATGAATTTATAATTGTAGAATAAAATTTTAATCGTACGTATCTTAAAAACTATTAAGTAGTTGCAGATGTGATAAATTTTCTTCAACTGCATGACGATACCTACAAACTTGCAAAGTTTCAACTAAATCGGTGCACTCTCATTGTCCATTTTATAAATTTTTTCTACAATTATATGTTCATTTTAATTCAACTTGTCTACAGAGAATTATATCCTTAAATTTATGTATAATAAATTTTATTCCACTCCTACCTGTAATTCATGATCAGTAAGTTCTTGCGCTTTCTTCACTTGTTTCCTAACAATTCGGGAAATATATTTACCCTCATAAATTTTTAAAAATGAAACTGAATAAGTTGAAGAGTGATAAATAAACGGTAGTTTTCCATACAATTTTTTATTATACATTGCATATATATATATATTAATATGCAAAATAATGAATTAAGCAGTTGTAGCCGATGGTATCGAGGTGGTGGCTTGTGCTTGTGCCTGTTCTTCACGAATACGATCCTTTTTAAGTTGACCCATGAACGAAGCCTTATCAGCAGCAGTTTGGAAGCGACCATGTCCAAATTTAGAACTAGTATCGATAAATTTAAGATTAATCTTTTCCAACGCTGATCGTTTGGTGTGCACCAATAAAGACTGCAAAAATATATGTTTATGTTATACTTGTAGTAAAATAACATAAGATAACTATAAATCTTCATTTCGTATCAGTCCTATCATTAAATATCATTTTAATTTCATAAGTTATTATTTAGCTCTTTATTTTTCATCACAAAAAGTTAACAAGGAATTGCTAAAATCAGTTATAATTTTTTACCTTGCGCAATGTTATCACACGTTTCTTTGGTCCCATACAACAACCTTTAATCATAATGAAATCATTATTCACTTCACCGTAGTGAGGAAATCCTCCCATTGGTGTAATAGTTTTTTCGGTGAGATCATACTCCGTGGAAGCATTATTTTTCACTATCTAAAAAATATTGGAAACTTTTAATAAGTTGTATTGTAACAAATAAATTAATATATAATACATGTCACTTATTTGGAAACCTAAAGTACAATCATTATACTTCAGGTACTATGATCAAGTTATTTATATATGCCTCTTATGAAGTTATCTTCATAAAGAAAGAAGAGTAACATGGGGAAGAGGCATTATTATTTTCTACAAAAAATCTACAAATACCTTGCCATCCTTGGTGTGAATTCCTTGTCCAATTCTATAAATCTTCTTATTCATCTCCGTACGATGATGATATCCCTTTTGACCAGCACGTGCAACAGTAAAGGATACACGGCTTGGATGCCATGCTCCAATACAAGCGACTTTTCTTAAACCTTTATGAGTTTTGCGTGGTAATTTTTTTGTATGCCAACGCGATGTTACACCTACAAAAAATTTTGCATCATATATTATCTTTATTAAAAACATGTGAATGCATAAAAAAAAAACATGAAAATGTATTTAATAATATGAACTTCAGTAGGAAGGCAGCACGAAATATCTTCAAAATGATCAGATACATATATATTGTGCTTTTGTCATCATTTTGTCCATTATCCTTTTTGTGTATTTTTTTCAAAATTACAGTTGAAACAAAAAAATAGAAAATAAATACCTTTATACCCTTTTCCTTTTGTAACACCAATTACATCTATCATTTCATCTGGAGCAAAAACATTACTGACAGGTACTGGTTTCTCCAAATGTTCACGAGCCCATTGAACTTTCTGTTCAATAGTTCCACCATTAAGTTGAATTTCCATTATATGAGCTTTTTTTTGACGTAGTCTTAACAGTTTCATCTATTCGAGAATATATATTTATTAATATAATATACCAAAATTTTATAAAATTATATGAATATTTTTAACAAAATTACCTGCGTGTGTGCGATAATTCGTACAACTTTGCAATACTTAGTGATCTTTTTGAAGTTACTTTCTATGGATTTACGGCCAAGATCATCTTGCCATTTTTTGGAAGCTTTTGTAAATGCCTTCTTCTTACTCTTGTACCTGTAGAAAAAGTAACCACAATGGCTGTCTTTTTGTTCACAATTTACAGGCACCTGCCCCTGTAACGTGCCAGTCTCTTCATAGTGAGCGGAGACTGTACACACTTTGGATTAACCTTTCACAGGAATTACTTCACTTTGAGGTTATATCCAAGTACTCGCTCTCATCAAAATGAGCGGAGAGCTAATTGGTAATTTATTGTAATATGCGTCATGATCTTATATAATAAATATTTAGAATATATAAATATAAAAACAAGTTCTTTTTTTACCAATTTTTATAAAATCGTCTGCGACAATCTTCTGACAAATGTTCCGCCCACACTGTAGTAAGGGCACGTAAACCATGTGGTGTTTCGATGTATCCAACAACACCAACTACAATTACAGGTGGTGTTTCCAAAACAGTAACTGCCTCCACAATTTCTTTTTTATTTACCTCTAAATGAAAAAAACAAAATACAAAATTACATACACAGTTACATGTATAATAAAAATTATCAATGTATTTTCATAAGACTGTGCCAGGCATGGTTTGTCTTAATGATCACCACCCAATGGATTTCAAAAAGATTATGGAATATGCCGTGCCTCCTTGCTCTCTGCAATGCAGAGAACAGAGTTTTTATTCGACACTGCGGTTCAGACCATACTGCCCAAGATCAAGCAGCTCTATCACCGCAACCAAAATTAACAAACACATTCCTGTGCTTATTAAACTGAGGTTATTGTGTCGGATACAGTAATTACAATATGCAGTATAAAATAAGATTACTTACAAATTAATGGTCAAAATTTACTTTAGCAACATTGCCTCAAACCTTTATCTTTGTTTTTTAAAAAATGCCATATTTTATCATTAATAAGAAATATAAAGTAGAGAAATCTGAAAAAGTAACGTTTTTTGCCATTTTTTTACAAAACAAAATTTGAAAAAACAAAGTAAAATGTGAATTCCAATCTAGATGATTTGCAAATGTGACGTAAACATGCAGAATTCAATACAGTGGTACCAACAATTTTTGAAAATATTTTGAAAACTAAGGCCTCGTGGTAATTGTTATTCACGTAAAAATTGTTCAGAATTTCGTCTTTTGTAACATATTTTCATATCATCGGGATCGGTTCCTCCATTCTGAAGTTTTTCAAATTTTATATTTTTTTGTAAAAGAATAACAAGAAGGAGTTGTTTTTTAAACTCTCCTGATCTATATTTCTTACTACTGCTAAAATATAGCATTTTTTGAAAAAAAAAAAAAAAAAAAAAAAAAAAAAAAAAAAAAAAAAAAATAAACTGACTTAGGTTAAAGTCACTGCAGTAATCTTTTATAACATTAATTATGAAGTTGTGTAGTCTTAATATTAAAAAATATTACATACTTGATCCTGGACGATCAGCTTCTCTGACTACGTGAGTCATACCAGATTTGTAACCGATAAAAGCCGTTAAATGTACAGGTTTACTCGGATCATCTTTAGGAAAAGCCTTTACTTTTCCACGATGCCGTTGAGATCTCTTTTTAGGATAAAATCCCATAGACCCATGCCGAGGTGCGCTAAACTTTCTATGCGACTGTAAAAAGAACGTCTTACTATTTATTATTTATATATAATAAATAACAAAAAAAAGAAGTTAATTTACAGATCAGACCGCCCTAGGATTTATCTTCATAAATATTCAGTTTGAAAACCATAAACACTAGTAATATGATCATCATGAGATGTAATAAAAATTGAACACGTGGTTGCTGTACAAGAAACTTGCTTTTATTAATTCTATGTAGTAATTTGATTAATATCTATTGATTAGAAAAGAATATTAAATTAACATTATTAAAAAATTTGATAATCATACACGAATACAAGATTTTTATAAATTAATGTAAAACGCATTATTATGCGAACTATGTTATCTACAATAGCAGTACTACTTCAACTCACCATTTTCGTTGCAACGAAGAAAATGGAGGAATCAGTTCTTGAAGTTTCCTTTTATACCTCTGACCAAATAGGTCTTACCAATATTTTCATTAAAAAGTAACTAGAAATCTAGTATACTTACTTAAAAGAAGATATCAAGTAAACTTATTTAATATATTTAATAGCAATTATTCTTTTGATATTTTATATCTGCATTTAAATTATTTTATGTATTAGTATTTTTGGTAAAAAATAAATAAAATTTTAAATATGATTTTATTATACACTTAAATTTAAGATATACATTTTATTAGAAAATTTAATATCATAACAATTAATTAAAGAAAATAAATAAAATTAATATTGTATGTCATTTAAAAATATCAAAATAGAAAATATTAAATGGAATTGATGATACTATACTATACAGTCTTTTTTATATGCTTAATGCTTGTTCCATGATCCTTGAATTGGGGATCTTATAATTTTGAATATAACTTTCGAAGAAATTGAACAAGTTCTAGTTTGTACTTTCTTAAGTTAATATCCTAAAAATGGATGAAAACAAACATTTTTTGACTTCACTGCCGACAATACTGGGTTTGAAAATAAGGGCAAATATCGAATATATTCGAGGTATTATCTAATCAGTCATTTGGTTATGTTATTAAAGAGATTGATGACAGTATAAATTTATTGTTTTCACAGAACATTTTATTGTACCAAATCAGCAAAAGTACCCGTGGTATCATCAAAAGTTTCAGCGGGTTCCAACAATTGATGAATGCGGTGAATTAGATATAGTTTGTCGTTTGGAAGCTCAGATGCAATTTGAGCGTGATAAGTACATTTCTTATTAAATATTTGTATAAAACTATATTTTTGTATTATAATCTACATACGTTTGTACTAAATATTTTACTGAAACTAGGATGGTTGATGATGAAATTGTTCATATTACAAGACAACGATATCAGCAGTGTTCCTGGTGTTATGGAGCCGATAGCAATAAATATTGTAGTGATTACCGTAAAGTTTATGAAAATACAGCTGCTGCATGGTTTATAAAATGTATGAATACATAAAATTTACAAAATTAGCATTTCTTATTAAGTTTTAATTTTAATTTAATGTTTCAATGAAATATAGATGGAGATATGGCTTATCCCATAAATGTAGTTGAGGCATTTATGAAGCAGAAGCATCGAATGATTTGGGAACGGCGTCATGGTCCAGTTGGTTCTGGCATTACTAATAAAAAGTATGCAATATAAATTATTAATTGATATCTACACTATTGAAATTAAAACTGTGTTAGCATCATTGTAGTTTGTATAAAATGCCAAAATAAACTAATGTATTATATTGTAAGTAACTGCCTTTCATTTTTATAATAATGATCATAAAACTAATATTTAAAATTTATACTTCACAAATTTCATTTTCATGTATTATACTAATTTTTTATCATCTTTTTATAACAACAATATATCTAAACATTTGTAATCTATTGTATAACAAATTATTTTATTCAATCCTTGTTTAGAAGATTCCAATGATTATTTATACTTTACAATTTCCTTTGTATTTGTTATTACAATAAAACTTTCTTATGCAATTATTACAGCATTTTACGCATTTTGACATTCTTTGCATAAAGATCAATTTAATTTTCTATTAGTCAGAATATTATTATGAACTACTTTAAATAAAATTTTCTACAAATAATGCTTTTAACGATGAATATATATGAAAAATGTAAGTGCATAATAATAAATATTTTAGACTCAAATAATAAAAGTATTTTAAAATATAAAAAGAAATCTTACTGTGACTAATAGAAAATCTAAACTGATAAATTTGTACAATTTAAAAAAAAAGTAAAAATTATCACTCTTTTCAGATAAATATAAAATACAATAGAACCCACATGCCTACATAATAAATTTATAACATGTAACAAAGTTATTTCACTTGATCAGAATAAATTAATACAAATTAGATTTAGGAAACATAGTAAAAGTATTAATATATATGACTGTCGTTTAATGAACCATAAATTTTTATACGATTAAATCGATTCATAATTCTTTCATTTCTCTTTAATAACATATTTGTTATTAATAACAAATATTAATAACAAATATTAAATATTAATAACACATTAAAATATTAATAACAAATATGTTATTAAAAAGAAATGAAAGAATCATGAATTGATCTTAATAAAGCAATGTAGTAAACCTAGTGTACAATCTTTTTCTGTGGCAACTAATGCATTTAGCATTTATAATAATAATAATCTTATTGATCCATGCTCTTTCTATTCATCAAATTGTTTGCATACTTTATTTTCATATAAAATATTTCTTAATAATAAAATAAAATATGAGATCAACAAGATCATCTGTATATAATTCAAAGAGAGCAATTTCTTGCCATTCATTCATATCACATATTAAATCTATAAATCATGTATTTTTGTAGGTAAAGAATGCCATCATCAATATCTTTTTCTTCTCTCTGTTTTCACTCAACATTGAAAACAAAATATTTTAGAATAAGCTTGTCATTACTAAAAGTAACGTTAAATATTGAAATTTGATCGATATAAGAGTGTATCTTCTTTTTTTTGTCTTACTTTTGATAAAATATTTATTGCCAGTCACTATTTAACAATTTTTTCAATGAATTTAAATGGAATTCATAAAAATTTCATTTCATATATTATATGTTTTTCATTCATCTTCATGAGTTTGAGTTACTCAATAATGACTATTAACATTAATAATTCCTTAATTAAAAACGTTTCCATTTATACAAGTAGTATGACACTTTAAAACATCATACATTGCATTTTAATTGCCATTTGAATTCTCAAAACACATTCATTCATAATACAATTACAAAGCATTCTGCATAAGCAAATAAAAATAAACAGACAATAATAAAAGGAATTCCCTGATACAAATGACAAAAATAATTATATGAATGGAAGCTAAAGTTAACAAATAAATTATAAAAATGAATTGTATTTGATTTCATAATTGATAATGAGATTATTGTTGAATAACAACAATTTAACAATTTATACTTTGACCTTCTTAACACAATTCATTTTTCTATGAAAATAATTTACAATAATCAATAAGATTGAGCCAATAATTTAAATTATAGTAAACAATTCAATTAATAAAGGTACACAATAAAATATTTCACAATTACATTGTTCATTAACAAAATTCGTTTTTAATTTTTCTTTCATATTAAAATTTTATTCAAATATAATCTTGTTATAATGAATAGTATAGAACACTGGCCCAATCTTATGAAATCTGTACAATTATTACCCACTTCATATTCATCCCTATCTATTATCAATTGTATTAATTTTTTTATATTCTATATCATAATATGAAAAATGCTACAAGAATTTGACATGCAATACAATCAGTATAGATCATTCGGTATAAACGCCACACACTTTTCCACAATTTTTAAACCAGAAGTTATAAGTATTTGGTATATAGATATTTATATATGTGTATATTTTCATACCTCTTGAAAATAATTCTGTTTTCTATTTTGTATGTATCAAATCGATATATTATAACCATAAATATTTTAAATATAATGGGAGAGTACCTACCATTATTTAGAAAATGGCGTATAGCTATTTGAACCCACTGTGTGACAGCCTACCGAGATGCTATTATATTCCTTTTTTTTATCAATCCTTTTAACACACTGTATGACTATAAAATGTGTTTAAATATCAGCTTTTTTGCTTCCATGGTATATAAAAATACATTTTTAGTTCTTGTACTGAATCATGACTCAATAAGTCGATTACATTGAGCAGTTAACCGACTTTTGCTTGTAAATACTGTAAAAAAATACTTCTTTTATTAAGTACACATATGTTAGTATAGATAGATATTTAAGTAAAATAATGATTAATTATTAAAAGAAGTAAATTACTTACATTGTTTTATCGGAGTACTGTGTTTTTCTTTATTACCATTGCTTTCCATGTTATTGTTATCATTTTTGTTATTTTTAAAATTCATGTCTTCCATGGAATTATTGATAATCTTGTCTTGCTTGTCTGTAAAACTTTCGCCAAGTATATTTTCCAAAGGCACCTTCTTTTTGGGAGTTAAGGATAATGAAGGAAGTGGTAATTCAGAAGGATGAGGAGCAACAACAAAGTTACGTTTGGAAGAAAAGAAAGGTGAAGTACGTGGATTTAAAGGATTTGCTGCAGCAGTTAATAAATTTTTTGTTGGTGATAATAAGTTATTATCACCGGATGTAATTTGATTCCAGGAAGGAGGTAACGTTAATGGAGGTACCTATTAATACGGAGAAAGTGATAAAAATATAAATTATAGTAATAAATTATGGAAGTAATTCAATTTATTCATATGTAATACTTACCTGTACATTAGTAGTATGTTCATCTTGTGGATATGTAAATTTTGGAGGTGTCATCCAGACTGATGATTCCCATTGATTTTTATCTAAATCTTCCTATAATTTAAAAAATAGAATTTACTATTACTTATATTATCGAATTAAAAATATATATACAGAATATCAATATCTATAAAGGAATTACCTCAGATGGAGAATCTGGTTTAGGAGGTGCCAGTGGAAAATTATGTGGTATGATTGGTGTTTGCATTAAACTTTTGAGAAAACTTTCACTTCCATTTTCTTGTAACGACCAATTAACCAAGTGATCTTCCGAACTCGATGTTTTCCAAGATTTACAAGACTCTTTCAACCATAGGTTGTTTTTATCAGTCTGTTTCCAAGAATTTTGACTTTCAACAGTTTGTTCTGTCCACTTTGCAAATTCTAGTGTAGTTGAATTGTTCGAAACATTGATATGAGAGGATGAATCGCTTTCACACGATTCATTACTAGAATCTGTATCACGATATGATGATGCTGATGCGTGCGTCAATGGTAATGCCATACCGACAACTATTTATAAAAGTTATTTATAATAAATTAAATCATATAATTTTTAAAACAGTTATAGATAGTATTTTATAGATAATTGCTTTTACATACCAGTTATCTTTTTATTTAAGCATATGATATGTTTCTTTCGTCGTGATAATTTTATTGTTACTGTACAAGGTAATGCTTGTAAAAGTGTAAAAATTGTTGGAAATCCATAATCTTCAGAATTACAAACAGAACCTATAGTAGATAAATACGCTTCCTCGAACTGCGAAAGTTTTAATACTCCACCATAATTCATCATTACACAATATAAATTACAAGCGAAACAATGTAACGAAGTAAGTTCTATGAACTGCTCATCATTCACTGTTGTAAACTGAAATTATAACTATGGTATTACAAGGTTCTTATAAAAGAAAGTGGTAATTTATTACAATTAAATTAAAACTTACTTGTACTACATTAGATAAATTTTGTTTTAGTTCATTTATATTGCATGGTTTTAAATAATATTGAGCATATAATTGTTGAAATTCTTTAACTAGCATTCTATGTTGGGTTTTATCCATCAACAATCGACGACATTCTAGAGTTAATTGTTGTAAATGGGATTTATCTATCATCATAACTACAGGTTTGTTTGCTATATATACAATCTGAAAGATTAATAAATAAATTAAAATACTTAGCACTAGCATATAAATTTTAATCATTTTTTTATACTTTTACTGTATCTCCAAGTTTTTGCATAAGTTGCCATATAGAAGTGCAACCAAATAATTCTGGTTTTATCGCATAACCAAATTGATGTAAAAAATTTTGTGCAATGTTTGAAACACTAAGACAACCTCTCGACCGAGTAATTAATTTGGATATTTGTTCAGAAAGTATACGAAGACCTTCCTTCTCTGTTAAAGAAATTTGTCTTTCTCCAAAACTATCGTCTTCTATTTTAACTATATCTGGTATAGCTTCGAATAGTTCGATTAATTTCGTAAAACCGTAATCTGATAGTCGGCACTGATGACCGAAATGATGATGATATGATGGCACAAACTTATTAAACTGCATTTTACATTGAGGTGCATGTCGTAATAATTCGATAACCTAAATAAAACAAATATATTTGTTCATAAATGCATAATTAATTTCATTTAATATTTTGTTACTTTGTTTGTATCATACCTCTACAGCAAATTGTTTTGTTCGTTCTATCTCTTCCGCAGTTTGTTCTCGTTTAGGAATAGCTATCATTTTATCCCCGCCGCTAATCATAGTGACGACAACAGTATTTTCTGATACTTCACTGAGGATATCCTCAATTTCACATACTCCATAATCTACGATATCCCATGGTTTAGCTATAAAAAATATTTTTATTTTATAAATTCATCGTATTTACATAATTATTTAAAAACATAAAAAAGATCTTTACCTATTACTCTAGCATACACACTTGGAAATTCTGATAGTGCTACTTGTTTGCTAGCTTTGGACTTTAAGACTCTTAATAGGTCAGATGTGAACCGACGTACTTGAGCACGATGAGATAATGTAACTACACGACTGTTTCCTTCACCCATAACCTAGAGCGATTAATTAAAATTTTACCAATTAAATAATTTACCTCAAACTAATTTAATCTGTTTACGTACTTGTACGGTATGAGTAAGCGCTTCTAACAAATCAATTAGTTTGGTGAATCCATAATTGGCGACCCTACATTGCCTTCCAAAATGATGGTGATATGCGGGTATAAGCCGGTTAAATGGTAACTGGCAGTGTGGAGCAGTTTTCAGAAGATCAACTAACTCACGACTGAAAAGTGCTAATTGATTTGCAAGTGGAGAACTCACACATTTATTCTCTAAAAAAAAGGAAGAATATTATACCAATATTATCCGATTATTAATTAATTTAACAATTACCATAAAAAATCTTACCTTCATAATTATTTTCGTGTGTTTTATTTCCTGCCCAAATAAGATACTTTATACTACCAATACCTTGCTTCAACTCAACACAAGATAAGCAAGATACTAGGTGTTCTAAGGGTACTCCATTTTCAACTACTTGTAATTTTTCTTTAAATTCAGCCTCATAACAATTTGGCAAACTAAAATTAATTTATAATAAACAAAATTATTAAATGAAAATAAAAAAAGGAAAAGAAAGTGGTGTTATTAAAAAATTGTAAGATAATGATATACCTAGGTAATGGTAAACTTCCATTATGTGTAGTTAGTAATTGATATATACGTGGATCGAGAATTTTTAAAGAAATTTTTACATTAGGAAGTGATGCTACTTTCTGTTCAGCCCATCCTTTATCAGACCATGGTTTCAACGTATGAATAGTACAATATGGTAACTCTACTTGTTCTTCCTAAAAAACCATACATAAATACTTTTATTTTGTGTATAATTTTCATATTAACATATTAGATATCTTTTACATTATTTCAGAATAATTTTTAACGCTTTGGGTAATTGTCATTGCTTTTGAACAGTAAGAGGAATAATAACTCTACTCTTACCAGAAAAGCTAAAACTCGGCTTAATATCCATCATTAACAACAAAAATGATAAAATCTAAAATTTACTATATAACATTTTATAATCTAAGCATAAGAATTGAAGTACCTGAGTTGTATTACTAAAACATGGTGATGGAGTATTCCTGTGATCTGGATTAAGAGAAACCATTCTACCACCAGGATCTTCCGTAACAATACAAACATCTTTCATTTTGTACAACTCGGAAACACTGATGGAAATCATAAAACGACTCTCGTACATTTCTCGAAACTTAAAAAGAGCAAGTTTGTGACCAGGTACTTCTTGGAGTAGCATCACGATTTGCGCTCGTACAACCTGAGGACTTGCTCTACCACTATGAGCGTATGATATTAAAATACGTTTATATCCTACTTTACGACGATGTAACTGAGAAATTGCGTATTGTGCATCTGATAAGGAAGGTACTTTAACACTTGCTGCAAAGCTACCATCTGATTGTATAAAAATAGAGACATTTAATACCTAAAATATTAACAAAAAATAAGCTGGGAACATTTACATTCACAGTAATGTAATTATTAAGTTAAATAATTATTTACCATCACATGTTCCATAAAAATAGAGACAAGCATATGTCTCATTTTTTTTGGATTAATACTTTGGTCTAAGTTAGTTACTTGCAGTTCAATAGGGGTGCATGTTTCATTATTCGTTGATATTCCATTATGATTATTTATTGGATTGAAAAATTTCTAATGTATTAAAAAATACAAATCATTGATTAAAAGAAAAGATAATGAAAGGAAACAAAAAAAAAA